GAGCCAGTAGGCACAGTGGCAGAGAGAAAACCAACTTGAAAAATAGCGGTAGAGAATGACGAAAAAAAGGAGAGCAACGGAAAAAGCAAAACCGAGAAAGAGAGAGAGAGAGAGACAGATAGACAGACAGACAGAGAACCCAGAAGAAAGTAAGAAAAACATAGAAAAAACAAGCGTGCTGGAGAGAGCGGGGGATGAAGGGGCGAGGGGTTGGGGTGTATCTCGGTGCGAGTGCACCAGCTGCATCTGTCGTTGACCCAGTGGCCGAGTTTCCCGTTTATCGGTCGACCTGGCGCAGTTGCGACTGACTTTAAAGCCGTCGACTCCTTCGGATATTTAAGGCCGTCGCCCACCTAACTATACAGCGTATAAACATCATCAGACCTGTTCACGATATTATATGGAGTTTAATATATAAACAAATCCACTTATTCATAACAATACAGCATCGAAACATCTCTATGTCATGTCGGTAGCATCACGAACGAATGTTTTGTCGATCAGACAACGATCATATGTATATTGATCGTAAGCCGCTTGCAATGGTGCAACAAAGTAGTTACTACATTTACTGATAAAATATCCTCTAGCTATTTTCTATGTGATGTATGATGAAAGATTAGGAGAACTGGTTCGTTGATATTCGTTATTATATTGTTTTATTTATTTCACTTATGTTCCATATAGAATGGCGAGTATTATAAATAGGGAAAGTACGTATGTCATATGCAGTTGAATTTAATTTTTATCACCTCGAAATGAAATTTTATGGAACGCCAGTAAAATGCCAAACATTTGTCTAATAATGTAGTTCACATTTATTTCGAAATTTACGATACACGTATGCTAATACCATGTCAACGTTACTGTGATATCGTATCGCAACTTAATATTGCTGGCCCGATAACATGCTATTAAAAAGGGACGAGCGCAGTTAAGCTTCCGCGGACGAAGCAACGATCTGTGCTACGCGCGGTTCTTGCCGAATTCGACGATTTCCAATGGGAATCAACGTAACGGGGATAATTCTCTGACTGGTGATCGATATCGGAACGATCCAGCCGCTACGTGACCTATCTCGCGATTCGTCCGGCGTCTTGATTGTTTCCGGTACGAACAAACTCTGGCTTTATTGGTTTGATACCTTCTGGACATATGGAATGTAAAATCAAGGTTGTGTAGATTGCGGAATATCAGGCTTGGCCGAGTGTGTGGGTTTTGGAAACATTGGGATGATCAATTAGTCAGGTCTCCCTTACAAAATTGTACGGAACTTCGAGTAGGTGGCAGAGTATTACGTCGCTTAAATATATAATCGATGATATTAAAGTTCGTGAGAGAGACATAGTAGAGTTTGAACATTTTGAATCCTTAATGTTTAAGAATTCAGATGGTAAAGTTTTCCATTTTTATAATTTAAATAATATTCTTCGTGTCCCAAATACTTCAACGAAGTTGCGATATTCTTCTTGTTAAATACTAGTATAATTTTATCGGACAATTTAAATTACAATCATAAGAATATGAATTCTATAATAACTACGTAATAATATTATATAGAACGTAATTAAGAACGTACTTAGCTCTTAAAGCTTCTGAGTCGGGAGATCAATATTATATGCGAAAGGTGCGCGGAAAGATCCAATTTCCTGCTTTCCTTTAAACGCACGAAGGATCATTCCGCATAAAGCGCGAACCCTGTTCCTTAACGTACACCTATCGCCTTGCCAAATGAGAAATTCTTTCGGTCTATCCTATCGTAGGTGTTCAGTTAGGTGACAGTAGAAACGTTTATACCGGAAGCCGTCAGTCAAACGGCTGCTGCGAGCGTGGCAGCTTTAATTCGACGTGTCGCTCGAAATGCTCGGCTGGAACGTTAAAAATGTATCACCTTGGAAGCGAGTCCGTGACAATGCGGTGCCTGTCATGCTTTTAACTCGAATCGTCGAAAAAGAGAGCTGAAACGTGGGACGCGCTTAGTTCGCGCGATCGACGGACATGTGCAATTAGATAGAATTACTTGGCGTAGGTGGAACGTTTTGGCTCGGTGCACGAATTGCGTGGGAAGACGAGATTGTTCGTGTACTGATCTACAGACCAGCCTTTGCTAGAAGCAACGGGTATCTATTTCTCCTTCTCGTAAGAATTTCTTTCCTCGCGGTTACGGTCTTATGTAGATATCATTAATCAGACATTCATCTGCTTTTAATTGAAATGTTTATTCAGCGATATTCTGGGATATTCAGATTCGTTAGCGTAGTGTTTATCAAATTCGGTAATTATTCGATGTGACAAGTAGATGTGGAAACAGTAGAACGATACTGTATGTAGCGAAATTTGGATCGTAAAATTAGGTCGATTTGTGGATAAATTAAGTAGTGGTATTTCCTATTGGTTATAATCGGAGAAATAGAATGACACTGATTCACAGTCGGGTAAATACTGTGGAACAACAAGTAGATTCGACTACTCGTGTTCAGACGAGCGGAAGGTTGTCGACTGTGGGCAAATGGGTAAGAAGGAAGTCACGCGTCGTCGAGTAAATAGAACGTGATCGTTCGTGTGCAGACATGCAGAGTTGTACATTCTACTAAAAATGATATTGGTATGTTAATGTTTGTAGCTTCAAGTAGAATAGTGCCTGACTAATCTCACAACATAGCAAGAAGATCATCTACGTAAACCGAGTAGAATAGCACAGCCTGAGAGTCAGACGTTTGGATAGTGCTAACAATTTGTATTCCGAGATATCAATAATCCCAAAACGTCGAAGAATTTTCGAAAATAGTATCGCCTAAGTGTTGTTAGTATTTCTATTGAGGAATTTACGAGTTTTAATCCTTATTAGAATTTCTTGCAACTGTAAGCTCGTTCAGAAATTCAAGAAACAAACAATCGTAACAGCAGCGAGCAATCGTACACGTTAATCCCGCGACAGAATAGTCGGAAAGTTTACAATCTGAGGAAGTTTCATCGCTCTTGAATTAGAGCAAGGACGGCCGCACGAACATCTGAATGTCTTCAGAGAAGCAGGCAGAAGCGAAAAAAGAGAAATAGAAAGAAAAAGAGGGAGAAAGAGAGATAGATAAAAGAGAGGAACTGGCGGCAATTGCACCACGGATATTGTATCACTCACACTTCGTGTACGATACGACCACCGCGACTGTATTTTGCTTCCTATTCTTGAACCAAAATTTCACCTTCCTTGTACTACTGATATCGTTGCCTTTGGCATGGGAGGAGCGAAGGATCTACTGAGCAAACGTAGAAGAGGCAGAAAAAAGTTACAATTACGTATTACGGAGCTGGATTACTAGAAATCCTTGTGTTTCTATATTTTCATCCTAAACATGCATAATGTATATACAGACTCACATTCCTAAATATCGATCTTCTCCTTCCTCTGAGATCATTCTAGACTAAATTCCCCCGTACAAAACCATCAATAAAAAAAATTATCTTCATAGATTCGTTAACATACGTCGATCTAATTAATTCTATCGTTTCGATGAAACTCCTGCAGAGCGTCGAACGAACTTTGATAATAAGACACTCGAGGCAATTTGCCTAATACGGGCAATGTTCGCGGTCTGGTGCAAATCCGGACCGCTCGTTTGCTCGTTTCCTCGCGTTGGGAGCTCGCTCTGGAGAAAAGTGCCGAGGGAGCAGCGAGAATTCGCTACGATTTGAAATCACTGCTCGCTTGCCGGA